GTCCTTTATTTTTAAAGAATCTGGCTGCAAATAACCGCATGTTGTAAGTGGCCTGCTCTGCTGGATTCTGGATGGAGCTGCCCCTGTTTCTAAGCCCTGCCAGATTGGCATTAGCTTTATTGAGTCAATGAACAAAAGATTGAGGGATGGGGAGCTTTCCTAAAGTCATGCAGTTGTGTACAAAAGCAATTATTATATTCAGAAGGTAAAACCTAATGAAGGTGAATACACATGAACACCAGAAACTGAAGACCAAGCAGATGGGCTGTAAACTACACAGCAAATAAAGACACACGTGCTTGAGTCCCCTTCCAGCAGGAAGTATCTCACACTTCATTTTGTCTTCTGCACCATAAATATGCCTGCTATATACACTTCATTTTGTTTCCTATACCATTAAATTATACCCACTGTAGCCTTCAGAAGCACACACATAGCAACAACATACATCTGCAGTTCACTTCTGGAATGATGCATCCTTGAAGCCTGGCCTGCCTGTTTGCTCAGAGCTTCTAGAACATCAGAGTTCACACAAGGAGGAATACTATAGTATGGAAAGAGGAGTCTGATAAAGAAACTGCTCTGGAATCAATGTGTGATCAGAAGCCTGATGGCACTCTGGAAAGCAAAGTGAAGGAGCACCTGACTGAGAGTTGGGGGAATGCTGAGTAGGTGTCCTGGGTGCTCTGAGGAAGAGAGGTGTGAGCACCCATGCTAGACTATTTCTGCAGAGCCACAACCACAGTAAGAACACACAGAGAACATGCTCACAGCCCTCGCTGGAGTCCCCACAGTGCCCCAGTGTAGCTTCTGGGGCCTGGGTGTCTGGAGTCCCTCCTGACATTAGAGGAGCATCTCCTGCAGCTTACAAGCTACTAAAAGGTTCTCCAGCATGTGGAGTCACAAGTGCTTTTGCTTAGGGGTGAACTCAGAAAGTCTCTTCCCACAGCTTCGCATGCAGAGTGAATACAGAGTTGGCTCCGGTTTTCAGGCAGGTAGGCGGGTGCTCTGCTTCATCTGACAATCCAAGAACACAGACACCTTTGTAAACCAAGAGTGGCCATAGGTCTAACCAAAGGGAATGTAATTATTAATGACATGCAATGTAATTAGCAAGCACAACCAGGGCTTCCGCACCCATACTGTGAATGATGCCTCTGATTATGAAGCTGCCTCAGGTGCCACGAAATCTGTAGCACAGTAAATCTTATCACCTGGTCTGTACACAGAGCCCCAGGCTTCACTTCTCTCCAGTCCTGCACCCAACTGCCACCATTGTCTCCAACTGGTCATTAGGGACCTCTGAGTGGCCCCTTTACACCGTGGCCTAGGTGTTCAATAAGAGAGCCAGATCTATGAGTTTTGGGATGATTCCAAAGTCCAGAAGGGCTCTGAGATACAGCTTAGGCCAGAGACACTCAGGGCCCCTGGGAGATGACCTCTGTTCTTTCACCTATATTGTAGGCTTTTTGTTTGGTTGGCTGGTTTGCTGGCTAGCTGGCCAGTTGGTTGGTTAGTTGTCTGTCTGGTTGTCTGTCTGTTGTCTGTTTGACTGACTGGTTGGTTGGCTGCCTGGCTGGCTCATTAGATGGTTGGTTGGTTGGTTGGTTGGTTGGTTGGTTGGTTGGTTGGTTGGTCGGTCAGTCAGTTGGCTGACTAGCTGGTTAGTTTGGGAATTCATTTTTATTAGAAACTGACATAGTTTGCAAGCATCTATCACTAGACTTACAGGGTACAACAGATGCTATATGTGGGGTTTTTTTTTTTTAGTTGGTTGTCAAATGTGAGTGGCACAGGCATGTAAAAGCAGTTCTGTGTCGAGTAGAAACAGCAGGATGTGCTCTAGCCCCCACATCCCTCCGTGTCCTCCCAACTTGTGTACTGAGGAGCTTTGGGGTACAGAAGGAAGTAGCTGATGTCCTAGAATCCAGAGCCTGAGTCTCTGAGGGTTCTCTGTGCTCACCTGCAGGAGCCCTGACAGAAGGGCTGGGGCAGAAGGCAGAGCTCAACTGTCATCAGAGATGGGATGCCCCATCCAGAACAAGATGTTCAGGGATCACATGAAGCAGGGCTATTAAAGGCAGAGAGTATCTAAGTCTTTAAGGGATAGTTCCAGGTCACACTTGGGTTTATACAGGTGACATCAGGAAGGTGAGTAGGGCAGGGCAGGTGTCCTGGTGGCTTCCCTGTAGTGCCACCATGCCACTTCAGGAGTGGAGGACTTCTGGGAGTGGATGTGTACTCACTGCCCTCTCAGATGTCACAGCAGGATGTGGCTAAACACAACTGATTTCCATCCCAATAGTCCTCTTCTGCTCATCCATCCCAAGTCTTTGGAGCTCACTGGGCCACAGCCTCTCATCCCATGCCAGGAAACTCTAGATAATGCTGCTGATAATTGAGGACATGTTTACTTCAGATTCTGAAAGTGCAAAGCACAGTCTTCCGTAAGATGTTTTCTATCCTCTGCAACCTGGTTTTAAGATTTACATTTGGAAGTAAGAAGTTTCATTAACATTTACTTTTATTATTTTAAATGCTGTGTATGTGTGTGTGGAGAGGTACACATGAGTGCAGGTGCCCATGGAGGCCAGAGGCCTGGGATCCACCTGGAGCTGGAGTAACAGGTGGTTGTGAACTGCCTGATGTGGATGCTAGGAACCAAACTCAAGTCTGCTACAAAAGCACTCTTCACTCTGAGCCTCTGAGCCACCTCTTCAGCCCTGGGAGAGTTTAATCTGCACTGTATACTGTGTGTATGTTTAGCCTGTGTATGCATGTATGAATGTGCATGTGTGTTCTCTGTGCACATGTGTATGCTATGTGCAATGCATATGCATGCACATGTGTGCACATGTGTACTTATGTGTGGTGTGTGTGCCCTGTGTGTATGTATATATTGCATGCTGTGTGTATGTGTGTGTTCTATGTATGTATGTACATATGTGTTCCATGTGTAGATTTGTGTGTATGTGTGCTAAATACATGTGTATGCATGTGTACATGTGTCCTGTGTGAGCATGTGTGCTGTGTAACTGTGCATGCACATGTATAGTATGTACATGTGTGTGTTTGTACTTGTTCTGTGTCTATATTTGTACGTCTGCTGTGTATATGCATGCATGTGCTGTACTGTGCATGTGTGTGCTGTGTATGCATGCACACATGTGCACATGTGTTGTGTAGTATGTGCAGATGTGTTTACAGGTGTCCTGTGTGTTTGAGCATGTCTACTGTGTGTACATGTGTAGTATGTATGTGTGTCTTTATATGTGTATTGTGTATTTGTGTGCTGTGTTGTGCATGTGTGTTCTGTACGTATGTATGTATGTATGTGTGCTGTGTGTGTACATGTGTGGTATGTGCACATGTGCTGTGCATGTGCATGCTGTATGTATGTGTGCACCTGTGTTCTGTTCATATGTGAGGGGTGTGATTGTGTATGGATGTGGTGGGTGGCTCTACTCCTCAGCCTCCAGCCTTGACCCTCCAGCTCTAGGAGTGGCTTCTACTCAGTCTCAGCTCTGCACCCGGTTGTTTCCAACACATCTTCTCCCTGTTGCAATTTGGTGCCTGCAGTAACATCATATTGTTAAATTTTAATTATCAGGTAGTTGTGGAGAAAGTTCATCATTATGCTCCTGCCTCTGATACTTGGAACGGAGTCCTCATTATTTAATGCCTCCTAATTACACTCCCATAAGTCCTACGCAACCAAACACACCTTAGTAAATAAACGAGGCAAAGAGCCCGTGGTGATTTAAGATCCTTGCCACATAGATTATTCACCCAGTACCAGCTCGTACTAAGGCACCTGATGGAAAAACAATGTCTAGAACCTTAAATGTGGAAGGAGGCTTAAGGAATGTTAGGACGTGTTGGCTCAACTTTCCCTCTCTGGAAATCACTGTGAGGAAGAGCAGTTTTGGTCCAACCCAGAGCTCCCTCTCTCTCATCCCCTGGGGCTGGACTCCAGTCCGGCTAGCCTCTTACGCCCCTGCACTGTGCTGTGAACCCTCTTGCTACACCGTGTGGTGGCACCTCGGCATATGGAACATGGGCTCATCCCAGGGTGAGAAAAGATGAACTAAAAACAGGAGAAGGGAATATGAACACAGAGTAACCTGGTGCCACCTGAACACCAGCCCTCTCCCAGGGTCAGGAGCCCCTCCCACCACTCTGCACAGGGAGGTGTGATAGTCCTGTGGTCCTGTCACAGGAGAGGGTGCAGAGTCATGGTTTTGCACTGCAATTTTAGACCCCAGTCCCATGATACATTTCCTGATTCCTTGCAGCAGCTGTGGTTTTGAATGAGCTTGGCACCAGCAGCCACATCTCCAATTTTTTTCTGTTGAATAAAACGAAAGGCTGTAGTGATTCAGGAAGTAGCTATGTCTCAGCTTTCCAAATAACAGAAATTGAAAACAATTGGAGGGTCATCTTTTCTGTGATGATTTTGGTGTTTTTTGAAGTGGATTATTCAGTATATTTCAAAAGGAAACATGCCATAGAATTTGGAGGCTGTCCCAGGAGTGTGCTGCTTTTGACAAGTCCTTTTGCACATGAGTTCTTTCTCAACAACGCCTCACTGTTTACAAGGAAGCCAGGTGTGTGTTTTGTTTCTGAGTGTGCAATACTGTGGACTAGACTAAACAGGGGCTGATTGTGATTTTTCCAAAGTCACGATTTCCTTGGTGCTTAAAAGTATGACTAGCTCAGGAAATCTACGCGCACGGTTCCTGGATGATCATGTGGACTGTGAGGATGAGTCAAACACTCTGGAAGGTTTTTCAGAATGTTTTTACAACTTGGATCATCACTTGTGAACCAAGAGACTTTTGGGGCCTGGACAGCTTCCCCTGAGTGCACTTTTGCAAAGAACACCACACCCAGACAGCAAGTGAGGAGTTGGCCTCGGTTGATCTTGGTGATGGGTAGCTCTTTGCTGTGTGCAGGAAATTCCCAACCCACTTGGGCTCCTTCAGGTGACTCTTCCTGCCAAGGACTCTGCGGTCATGGGTGCAGGCCTCCTGTGTTTTCCCAGCCCTTGCACCAATCTGGAGCAGGCCTGCTGTTCTCAGGACTCACAGGGACACAGAGTTGGCTTTGAAGAAATCTCTGCTGAGGTAAAGTGGCCAGTCCACAACCTGGGTTCGGTTGTCAAGCAAGGCAGCCAAACACAGCTACAATCATAGTTTGAGAGAGTCTCGGTCTCCCTGTCCACCCCTCTCTCCCTCCTTCCTTTCTTCCTCTGTCCCGCTCCACTTGATCTCACTGCACTGTTACAGTAAAACCTGTTTTTCAAAGCAGATTTTATTTCTACATTTCCAAAGACTTGGAAACAGTCAGGAAGGAGGCAAATAGCTAAGGTTAAGGGGTGATGATTCCTGGGGCCTGTGTTGACCGTGCTGCCTTTACCCATGTGACCTCATTCAGTGTTCACCCTAAGCCCCTGTGCCTACCTCTTGTGGGAGGGGACACTGGGAGAGTCTAGTGGAAGAGCTCAGTATGTGGTATTGTTTCTCTTTAGAGCAGGGACAAGCCTTTTTTCAAAGACTTGACCCACTGCCCTCTGTCACTGGCCCTATAGGAAGCATTTAAATAAAGGACAGCTCAGAAGCCCAGAACAATATTTTAACCAGGACCGTTTTGTATTATATAAAACTAAAGGAAATGCATTTGCCTTCAAAAGAAGATCAGAAACTTCCATCGCCTTGTATTTTTAAATGTAAACTGATTTTTGAACTGAATAATTGCCCTTCCATGAATTATTTTTTGAATTGCTATAGCGTGTTCCTTGAGGCCATTTCGCACAAGTATATCATGTGCTCTGAGTGTAGCCCCGCCCGCTGCCCTTCTGTTCCTCACCCTCCACCTCAGTCCCCTTTGTCCCTGAGACAGTTTTCCTGCTCCTTCCATGTCATCTGTGTGATTTTATTATCTCTATAAAATCTAGGACCCATGAGTGAGAAAAAAATGTGATCTCTTTCTTTGACTTAATTCAATTAGTTGTGAGTTTGTTTTAAGCACGTTTTAATCTAACGTGAAATTCACTCGACATCAAACTCTGCAGTTGACAGTGCCAGGCTGAACAGACATAGTCTCTCTACTGCCTTCCTGAGGGGCCTGTCCTTCCCACTCACTTGGCCAGCTGAAGTACCAGTAATGTTCAGGAATAAACTGCCAGATATCTGTGTCCTAAAATAGGAACCAGTTTGTCCAGTTGCGTAACAGACCTTGATAAGTGGTTTCAATGTGAACACTGAGTAATGCTTTTTCTGGTGTGACTCCTAGAAGTTGGCGCTTAAATAAAATCCCAAGCACATTTCTTTGCATTCATTATTTAAGAACTCTACATCTTAACCACAATCCAAAGTGATCTTCTGGCACATGTGCCTTAAAGCTGAGACGTTTACAGAGTCACTTGCTAAGGAAAATTGGCTTCAAGAGCCGCCTCCAGTGGGAAACTAGTCTGCCTTGGCTGGTACACTAACCCCCTCCACCTTCTTCAACCGCCCCTTATGGGTGTGGGGCACTTTTCCTTTTGTCTTTGTTTCATTTTCAGTGCTGTGATTGGAACCTGGGCCTCTCGTGCTAGACAAGTTCTCCCTACTGTCCAGCCCTGTAGGTGTGGGTTTTTTTTTTTTTTTAAGTATCTTTACTAAGGGGTAGTTCAATACCTACAGGTCACCCACTGAAGATGCTCAGTGCAGATTGTATGCATTCACAGTAGGTGCCACCATCACTACATCTATATTAGAACACAGATTCACATAATGGACTCCTACCCCTTCAGCTATCACCTTCACCACACAGCTCTCAACAGTCACAGGTCCTCTGTCTCTACCTCTTCCCATCACAGGCAGGTCATATGGAATCATCTGGATCACCTTATATGTCTGACTTCTTTCCCAAAGCATCATGTTTTGAAATTTTGTCCATACTCTAGTATATACTTACTGCACTTCTTTTTATGGCTGTCTAATATTCCATTGTTGGGACATCCTATATTTTAATTGCCTGCTCATAGGGTGATAGACATGTGGTCTTCTTCCTCCTCCTCATTATTACAAATAATGCTTCTGTGGTTATTTTCAGGCAGGTGTATAGATGGACTCATGCTTCCTTTCTCTTGAGTATATACCCAGAAATGTAGCTGCTAAGTCACTGCTCACCCATGTTTAACTTTTTGAGGAATTACTAGACTTTTCCATGGCCACTGCACTATCTGACATGCCCAGCCACTGGCTCTGAGGGTGCTGTTAGCTCTGGTCCAGACACCCTGATGTATAAAGCAGTATCCCACTGTGGCTTTGATGTGCATTTCGTCAGGGATAATAGTGCTGAGCATCTCTTCATGTTCACTGGCCAGATTGAGAAAAAGTCTGTTCAAATCCTTTGCCTGTTTTAAAATTAGATGTCTTTAGCTGGGCGTGGTGGCACATGCCTTTAATCCCAGTACTCTGGGAGGCAGAGGTGGGTGGATCTCTGTGAGTTTAAGGCCAGCCTGGTCTACATAGTGAGTTCCAGGACACTAAAGGGAGACCCTGTCTCAAAAAGACAAAAAAAAAAAAAAAATAGATGTCTTGGTGTTGGAGTTCTTTACAATTCTAGATGCTTGACCTGCATCAGATACGTGATTTGCGAATATTTTCTCCTATTCTGTGTTGTCATTTTGCTCTCTCTTGTGTATGTGTGTATGTGTGTGTGCATGTTCTTGTGTGTGCAGGCTCACTTGTGACTGTGATTGCATGTGTACATATATGCACATGGAGGGAATACGGCAGTCTCAAATCCACCTGGTTTTTGAGACAGTGGCCTACAACTTGACTAGTAGGCTAAGCTGACTGACCAGCCAGTGAGCCCCAGAGATCCCCCTATTTCCAACTGCCAGCACTGGATTACAGACACGCCACCACAGTAGCCCCAGGGACTCTCCTGTCCCCACTGCCCAGCACTGGGATCATGGGTATGCCCGAGGTGCCAGCTCATTCATCATTCCACTGTCTTGCTGGTGTCGTTTGCAGGATTTTTTAAAGAGTCCCACTTAGCTCAGGGTTTTCCCTGTTGCTTATTCTCAGTATAAGAACCTCACCCAGGTGGCCCTTGTTTTCTTCTCGCCTCAGCCAATCTCTGATCCCATATCATCTCATCTCTACTCCCAAATTCTTTCAAAAGTAGAGTGTTAGGAAGTAAACTGGTAGTTGCACTGACTATTTCTGCTCTTTTTAGACTGAGGCTCCTAGCCAGAGGTGGGTTTGCCCCTGGGGGACATTTACCCCTAGCTGTAGCAGCTGGAAATGTCACAGACAGGTGGTGAGCAGAGGGCAAAGAGCTGCTGAGCCTCTTCCCTGCCAGAACAAGATACACCCACAGCAGAACTGTTCCACCCAAAATGTCTGCTGTGCCAGGGGGGCACTCTGGCCTGTGAGGGACCACACAAGGCCAACCTTCTCCATCTTCAGCCATGGCTATCTACTTCTGCCCAAAGGGGAGAGACTGAGGTCTGACTGTCTTAGGTGTCTTCCTGTCTTTACTGGATAATGAAAAGCTCTTAATGTTTAACCAGTGTCTTTTCTTTTAACTCTATTTGCTTTATTATTATTATTATTATTATTATTATTATTATTATTTATGTGGTGGGGGGGAGAGAAAGGTTTGCCAAAGCCATGACACACATGTGGAAGTCAGAGGACAACTTTCAAGACTCTGTTCTCTCTTCCCACCATGGGATCCAGGGATTGAACTTCAGTTGCTGAACCATCTTGCCAGCCCCTAGTCAGTGCCTTTTGTTACTTATTCAAACCCAGTCTAGGGCCTGAATAAACGCAGGATCTGCTTTAGAGAAAGTAAAGTCTGGTATGGTGACACAAACTTGTAATTCCAGCACTTAGTGGAAGTGGGAGGGTCAGTTGTTCAAGGTCATCCTTGGCTGTTCTTCTAGGTTGTTTCTCCATTGCCATGACAAAACACTCTGACCAATACCAACTCGGGGAGGGAAGGGTTTATTTTATCTTACATTTCCTTGGTCACAGTTCATTACTGAAGGAGCCCAAGGTAGGAACTCAGGGCAGGGACCGGGAGGCAGGAGTTTGCCATAGAGGAACACTGCTTCCTGGCTTGCTCCTCTGGCCCATGCTCAGCCTGCTTTCTTACACAATACTGAACCACTTGCCCAGGGGTGGTACCGCCCACAGTGAGCTGGGCCCTCCCACATCACTCAACAATCAAGAATATGCCCCATAGACATAGCTACAGGCCAGTCCAATGGAGGAAATTCCCCAGTTGAGGCTCCCTCTACCCAGGTGTGTCAAGTTGACAACCAAAGCTCTCCAGCACAGTTGTATAGGAGGAGGCCAGCCTAGTATATATATATATGATCCTGTCAAGAGAGAAAAAGAGGCAGAGAGATAGAAAAAAATAGTGAGGGAAGGAGACAGGGATTGAGAAAGGAAGGGAGGGAAGGAAAGGCTAAGCGATAAATGCAAACTTTTATTAGTTTTTGATTAGCATGCACAGGACTTTTTTCCTATGCTGATATTTCAGCACTTTAGTGATTTCAGATTATTTGTCACCAGTTTTAATTTTTATACAGGAGGCTTTCACTACATAAATGCCTGCTCTGAGCGTATGGCCCATGGAATGTGCTGGACCCTGGCGGTGATTATGCAGGGCAGAACATTGTTTCTCTTTGAATCTGGAGCAACTGAGGCCCCAGACGTGTCCCTGAGGAGCCTTGAACAGAAATTTAAACTGCACCTGTGCCCAGAGAGCCCACATAGGACCCACATGCAGTCTGAGTGTGAATGGAGGAGGGAGATGAAGGAAGGCAGAGGACATGAAGACACCACACTACTGGGGATGTGTCCTGAAGTGAAGAATTGCTCAGCTTCCCAGTCTTAGACTTTGGTTGTTCATGTTGGGCCCTAGACTATGTTCACTACCATGGACATGAATTTGGTCTTGAACTATCCAACCCTACTCTGCCCTGGTCACTTTTGCCTTTTGCCTGTAGGACCCTGTGTTTGCCTTTCTAGTCACTTTGAAGCATCTCCCCTGGCCCCTCTAAAGCGGGGACTGGGAAGGTGGACATCCTCCAGGACTACAGGGTGCATGCCCTCCACAA